AAGAATGTTGAATAGATGCAGGTGTTCCATCCATTTGGCACAGTAATGGGCATGTTAAGTGCTCAGGAACCTGGACGGAAGAATGTACGTGTAAAATTTCATGGCGCAGCTTCTATAATCATCTCTTTATAAACAAATGCCCGCTTTTAGATACAGTGGTCAGTTTCGTAACTGGTCACTGACCGAAATGTTTATACTTAGCTGTAAGAGTGAATGACGCCATTAGTGGTCAGCAAAGGAAGTGTCTGGCAAATCGGCAGAAATGGGTCAAGCGTCTGAGTGCCAGCAATTTAATTCAAGATGGCCTTCACTTTTCTGAACCCAAGCACCGCAGCCAAACGTGGTGGCGATGATGGACATCGGATTAAGACATATTTAGGCTTTCTTCAAGGGCGGCCAATGACACCTGTCATATAATTGGTTTATAATGATCTGATTTCTCTGCTTTGTTTTTATTAAAACAGCAGTTAAACCCCTGACACATGGACATACAAAGTTTGCAACGTGATTTAAAGCAACCTGGTAAAAAAATTGGAATAAAACGATTTTTAGATCAAGGTCGTGAGAGGCCGTCGGCTATGGTGTCAGAACAACGTAATAAACACTGACGCCTGGCTATTAGCAATGGTGGTTGTAGAGTGGTCATTTATTAAAGATAAAGTTTCGCCATCCATAGTACGTTTAGAAGTGAACTACAGCGATATGTACATTTTAGAAGTAATTTCTAAGATAGTTTTCATGGTCGATAATTGACTTTACTTCTGACATTCTTTAAACACCTGAAAAACGTGCTTCAACCATTTCCCAGACATTTCAATTGTTCTTTAGGACAAATATGTTTACAATTCTTGCTTTGAAGTTGAGCCAGATTTTAGTTTGTGTAGATTTTATTATTTCTAGATAAAATAGCCTTCACATCCTATATATTTTCTGCTACCCAAACCATGTTTTTTTTTTAAATTATCAAAAAATAGAGGCTGCAATTAACTTAAACGCCCCCCCCCCCCCCGCCAAAAAAAAAATCAGTTGATTTTTATCTAATTGAAACGAAATTGAATGACCCAAGACAATAATGTGAGTTATCGATATTCTAGAGTTAGTTCAATATCAGTCGTGCTTGTTCTCGTTGGCCATTGGAAGGCAATAGTATTCAAGGTCATTAGGTCAAAGGCCAAGATTACAAAAGTTGCTGACACAGTCTGAACAGTTTGATCCGAATTTCGGGCTTGTTTCATTGTCATTCGTCCTTGCACGTCCATCACTAAATTTTACCTTTTATATATTCAAGGAAATCGGATAATAAAAGATATTAAAACTATAATCCAGAATAGCAAATTAAAAAAAATGTAAGAAAGAAAAATCAACACAGCAGTGTTGTCAGTTTGTGGTCAGTGATGTGAGCAATGTCAGCAAATCGAACACACCCTGTAAAATGTAAATGTTTACAAACCAACAGGTGTTTAGTATAGGGTTGTGACGTATGCCGTTGTCATTGAGAATTATTTTTATGTAAGTTCAAGAAATATTAAACTGAAGCTATTTTCCTATTAAAAACAGAAATTAAAAACTGTAGACAAAACAGCAATGCAAGTGCGTAACTCGTTCGCCTATTGTACTGAACCTTTATCATAGAATTATTTTAGAAACCAGACTACAGTAACTCTTTAATGCAATAGGAGAATTTTAACACAGAAAGTGGTTGTTTCTTCGCAAAGCGCCAGCATTAGAAGTGAAAGTCACGGGACTTTCGGATGAGATCTAAAAAAAAAAAAATAGGCCCGTGTCATGGTAGGCGTTGGTCATATTAACAATACTTAAAGGTCAGTTTTCTTGTGACAATTGTGTGTATTTATGTTAAAATTCTTAATATAACACGTCTATTACGTACATTCAGACGTATTTTAGACGAAATATCAGTTGAAGTGTAGGCCGTCACCGGTTCGAAATTTACACGTCTTCCAGAATCAAAACATGAAGGCTTGCAAAGGGAAGTGGATGTTGGCGAAATCCTCTCCACTTCTCTAAAGAGAATAATCTTAACATATACCAGGGTAGTGAAAAGCGAGCTTCAAGTTACGCAAGAAAAATGTTTTTGCGCAGTCGTAATCTAGGAAAAGTACCATGGATTGACAAAGAATGCTTTGAATTGAACATTCATTTACTTAATTAGAATTCATTATAATTCATTTATGTTATAAAAACTTATCTCGCCCTGTCCCACATAGAAATGACAAGTTTAAACTAAATCACAGTTGTTTGTAAAGCATCTGAAGATTTGTAAATGAAACTGTGTTGATTTCTTCGTGTTTTCTATGTGAATTTTTTCATTATACTACCTTACCGACCACTGTGAATTATGTATCTTAAACCTTAGAACGTCCTCTCCTTTATAACAATTAATTACACAAAATAATGGTCAAAAATTAAACTACATTGGAACCAAAGGTCAATATGATTATCAGCTTACATAGGATATGCATGTTCAAAACTGAATTGATGTAGTGTGTACAAATGAATCTAAATATATAAATTCAAAAACGACCAGATCCCTTAATAAACAATTGAACATTTACATGTAAAAATAAACTTTCATTTTCAGAAATGCTAATCGAATCATCTCCCCATAACAGAACGTGAGTGTCTACAATACGTAAATTAATCATTCTAAAAATAGCATTAAACAGATCGTTTCTTGGGACAGTGTATTTCGCACAAGAAAAAAAGTATTTTTCCACAAGTGCATAATGAATTGTCAATGATGATACACCTTAATAAATCTTTATTCAGAACGCAGTTGTGTCTTAATCTAGTATGAATTACATTCCAGTAACGAACACCAAAACAAAAAAGGCAGGAGTAGGTGTTTTTTTTTTGAGAGCTTATACAATTTTTGAAGGAACCTATAGTTGTGGATTGTCTTGTTTCAAGAGGTAAAGACTTTTGCTACTGGCCTGATTAGTGCATTCCCTAAATCACTCTATCAGTATAAAGAACACACATTTACATTAAACAGCGTAATTTATTTTGATCTCTAGTTACTATGTGTTTAAAAAAGACAAGAGAGAAAACTTGTGGCTTGTTCCAATTATTTTCAAATTTTGCTTTGTCGATCTCTTTAAAAACAATATAACAAATGTAGCGCTTTCATTCGGTCAATCCATAGATATATCAACTTCACAGCACTTCGTGCTCGGTCGATATGCTTTTCTATGAAGTCGATATATCTATGGATCGACCTCATGAAAGAGCTATATCTGTATAATATATGACAAGTAAATTTACCAAAAAGGTTAATACAATTTTGAGCAATAGAGAAAAGACGTTCTTTCTCTGCAGAACTAGATGAATCTATTTCCCATGATAAAATGTATGTATCCCATCTATGAGTTTCAAAAATCTTTAAAAAAAAAACTATTTTAAAAAACTTTTCTGAAATTTATCACTTTAAAAAAAATAATTTTTATCTTCTACTTTACCCTATAAGAGCACAGGAGGCTTGCAATTAAAATACATCTCGCATACGTCATTATTTACAACATGTGTAGAAAGAACCCTTTGAACGAATACCGAAAGTCATTAAAACATCTAACCAGGTAACTCTAAAATAAGAGAAAAAAAACAATTATAGAAAAATTTTATTTAATTTTAATACTCGGATGAAAAAAAGTTGTATGGATGTGCAAGGAAACCCTTAGGACTCGTAAAACACTCAGAATTATATGTGTCAGCTAAGCATTTTAATGGTCTAATGGGTGACCTTGTGAGTTGACAGTAATTAGACCATATATTGTTGCATGTTGTGTGTTGTGTAATTAGTGCTACATTCCATGTACTTTGTCAATACTTGTGTAACCAATTTTGTTCAAGAAGAAGAAGTCATTGAAAATAAAAATACCAAGGAATTGATGATACTGGGTGAGATAGAGCAACTATATGGAGTTATGAAGACAATATATTGCATTTTCCGTATCTGTGTAAAAAATACACCAAAATCACTGGACCTTTAGATATATATTTTATTTTGCTTAATAATGATAAATTATTCTTAAGAATTATACTTTTTTATAAATTCAAATTTAAATAAAAAAAAAAAATTCAAAGAAGGCTTTTCAAAGTTAGATTACATTTTTTCCACTTTAAATATGGGGATTTCGTATTTCATGCAAGTATCCTAGAAAGCAGTGATGTCAAAGCTCAGTTTTTATAATTCATGGAAGCACAATATTTCAACATATTTACAATCGCTATGGCATGCCTAAATGGATCATCTATTTAAAAAGAAATACTTCAGCATTAAATAGAACTGATCATGATAAGTATGCTGATTTGCAATACTCTTAAGAAACCCCCCCCCCTCTCTCTCTCTCTCTCAGCCCAATACACATTTTGTAACTAGTTACATAACTCACCTTTTGATGTCAAATAAAAGTGCTGCCAGGGGATAGATTCAATATGTCACCTTTAAATAGAATGCGTCCTAAATTGTCATTATACTTATTATATACAACCTAGGTTAAGTAATATGTTACCTAAGGGGAATTCTTCAGGCTTGATTGACTATTGCTGAGAATGCATTTAAACCTGGTTTTATTTATTTTTTAAAAGCAATAAATAATATTCAGTCAAAATTAAATATACTTCGTGGCCAAGTCTAATCACAATTTCAAATTTCAGTCTAAATTTTATAATGCATATCTCAGAAAAATAACCGAATCTAACATATAAATAGGTCTTTAATACATCACCGTGAAACATATTTCTCAATTTTTTTAAATGAAAAGCCGAGAAGTGAAATTTTAATCCTCATCTTGAAACAGTAGCCGATGGTTAGCGGTGCGTTCAGTCTGGCGATGAATGGTCAGCTCGGATTTGTCCACGCCCGGCTGTTCGCCGATGTGTATATAAACATTTAACACACGGTTTGTACTGGCACTTGTCGGCTTAAAACCGAGCTGGTTTTTGTGTTTATGGATTGAAAAAAAAAAATTATTTCAAATAAAATGAAACGGGTAGCAGTTATCGGAGCTGGCTGCAGCGGACTGTCCGCTATTAAATGTTGCCTTGATGAGGGTATAGAACCCGTGTGCTTCGAAAGAGAAACTGACATCGGAGGGCTCTGGAACTACAGTGAGATTCCAAAAGTCGGAAAGGGGAGCGTATATAACTCTTGTGTTATTAACACTAGCAAAGAAATGATGGCTTTTAGCGACTTCCCACCTCCGGATGATTTTCCCAAATTCATGCCTCACAAGTACGTCCTTAAGTACTTCCGAATGTATGCTGAGAACTTTGGTTTATTAGACTATATAAGATTCCAGACATCAGTCCAAAGAGTTGTACCTGCGGACGACTACGAGGAAACTGGGCGGTGGAGGGTCACTTTCACCCTAGGAACTGCCGAACCCATCACAGACACTTTTGACGGGGTATTGATTTGCACTGGTCATCACACATACCCGCATCAGCCTAAATTTAGCGGTTTGGAAAATTTTAAGGGAACCCACATGCACTCACATAGTTATCGAGACAACCAAGATTTTCACGGGAAGAGAGTCTTGGTCGTTGGTAAGTTTTTAAAAAAAAAAAAAATATTAGTCATCTTTTGTCAGGTAACTAACTTTTTTATCAATAATGTACATGTTTTATATATGTGATAATGATTTTTCGAAGGTTTGGAAAATTCCATGATATAGATATGCTTATTCTTTAGAAAATAACTTAAAACATTCACTTGTTTAAATGAAATGTTCAAACACATTTTGTCCAATATATAATCGTAATGTTAATACTGATATTTGTCGTGTTGTAGGAATTGGAAATTCAGGTGTAGATATCGCTGTCGACCTCAGTCACACGGCCTCCCAGGTAGGAATCACTTATTGTCTTGTTTTATAATCAGGAAAGACGAGAATGTTTGAATTATCAATCACGTCTTGATAGTGAATGATTCGACAGCTCTTTACTTCTAAACCATTTTTCAAGACAAATAAAGAATTTTTTGAAAGATTTTTTAAATAAGTAAAAGATACATTTTTTTTACTATACAGATTTCAAATGGTACTTGTAAAATATATAATAATTAAGTTTGTCGCCCAGGTGTACTTGAGCACGAGGCGTGGAGCGTGGGTCGTGAGTAGGAAAGGATTCTGGGGCTACCCAGCTGATGCCATTGCTAACAGCCGTTTTTTGTTCACACTCCCCAAATCTGTGCTACAGTGGAGCGTAGAAAAAATGTGCAGCTTTAACTTTGATCACGAAGCTTACGGTGTGAAACCATCACAAAGGTAAGCCATGTTTAAAACACCACCAATTCGTACATGTGTATTATTTTATGTATATATGAATATATACTTTGAAATACGATCGATTATGATTTTTTGCGTTGTAGATGCTTTCAGACACATCCAACAATAAACGACGAACTTCCTTTCCGAATCATGGTTGGAGCTATTCAGGTTCGCCCTGATGTTCATGAATTTACGGAAACAGCCGTCAGTTTTGTGGACGGATCTACAGAACAGATTGATGCCGTGGTGTTCGCCACTGGTTACGACTACAAGATCCCTTTTCTAGACGACTCCATTACCAAAATCGAGAACAACAAAACCAGCCTATACAAATATATGTTTCCACCACACCTTCAGCATCCGACGCTAGGAATTGTGGGATTAGTCCAAGCTATCGGTGCTATAATGCCGATTTCTGAAATTCAATGCAGATGGTACTCGAGGCTTCTTACTGGTAAGCCGAAATCCAGAAATATTTAGTTAAGCAAGTTAGATACAGTTTTGATGCTAGCATCTAACATTTAATTAAATCTCCAAAAAGGTTTGCAATTTGCAATAATGATGAATATGCATGTTGCAGGACATTGTAAGCTTCCCTCATACTCAGAAATGATCGCAGACATCGAAAAGAAGCGTGATTGGATGAATGAAACATACGTGACCTCACAAAGACACACCTTACAGGTAAGAATTAAGTCATATCATATAGTAAATAGATTTATTGTAGTAATTAAAGTTTGAGAAGCTTTTAATCTGTTAGGACACCACGTTGAGATACCTTAATATTCAAAATCTTTACTTTTTCAGACATTTTGGATCGATTACATGGATCAAATAGCAGAGCAAATCGGAGTAAGACCAAATTTTCTTCAAATGTTCTTTGAGGATCCGTACTTAGCCATACGCTGTTTCTTTGGACCATGTCTTCCAAGCCAGTACCGACTGAACGGTCCTGGGAAGTGGAATGGCGCCAAACGATCGATTCAGGGCGCCATCTCGCGATGTATGAATCCTCCACACAAAGGGATACAACCCATGAACTTTATCAGATCAAAAACAAGACGACTTAGCATTGAAATCCAGATTCCAACATTTATTAAGCCTTATTTTGTTATGTTTATTTTTTGTTTCCTTTTCTTATGTGTGCTTTTTGTGTAAAATTCTACAAACGATGAGTTAAACTCTCGTCCAGTTAAAAACTGTTGATGGTTGTATTCATTTATATGTTCTTAGTTTCGTTATTTGTAGCGTTTTGTATAATTCTTTGTTGTGTCTCCTTATTTAGTGCAAAAATTGTCAGTTTGATTTGAACTGTGATATTCTCCATGTAGATTTTATGGTATGTTCCATTGTTTTATATATATATATATATATATATATATATATATATATATATATATATATATATATATATATATATATATATTGTGATCGGGATCACGCGTGAACGATGTGCCAAACACGGCTGAACTCGCCCGTATAAATGAATGAGTATGTGTTCCCTTGAAACTTAGTACGAATGAAATTCGTGAAAATAGAGTGCCATGTAAAGAATGCAGATTGAAAATAAATGTTTTAAAATTTCTGAAGCCATGTCTATTTTAATTTGGTTAAATTATATCGCACAAGATGCAGAACACAAGATAAACATTAATTTTATTCTTTATTATTATTTTTTCTTTGTGCCATACGACACGTCAGAATACATATATATACAATACCAATATTACAGGGTATACCAATGTTGGAATGAGCATAATAAAAAAAAATAGCAAGTTCACACAAGACCTGTTAAATCAGGTGGTTGTAATTGAAACCCATAAATTATAAATATTCCTTCTTTTAAAAATTTCTTAATTTAATTTTTTTTTCTTTAGAAATTTATTGAGATTCGTATTTGTTATTTGTGTACGGTCCTTGAGAACAGCATATCTGAATAAGTTTTGCAGTGAATAATTATACCTTTCTTTTACACGGTGTATGTTAATGATGAATTTAATATAAAGTGTATACTCGCAGAGAAGAATCAATGGTATCACAGGGGACTAGAATGCTATTCAAAAACCAGGGAATTTCAGAGATTTTCCGCTCCTCAGACTCCCTTTTATGTCGTCATGTTACCTGTGGCTAAGCAAAAATCTAAAAAAGCATTTAACAAGCCTAGCTTTTTCCTCCTTTATTATACATTAAAGATATCAGCATGCACAAGAAAAAACGACTAGTTTTCATCGTATTAATTCTTTAATTATTATTGAATCTCCAAAGTACTGTTATCTGCAAATTTAGAGACTACTTTAACAATCAATAAGCATTTTACAGGTTACTGTAAATTAGACTTAATACAAAATTTAGTTTAAAGATATGAAAACCTACTGAATTCACAAACAAATTGATAAACAGTTGTCTTACATTTAAAAAACATAGTTTAACAAGTCTAAGATTTTGCATTAAAAAAAGGGTTCGAAATACCCCTAGGGTTGACCTTGTATGTAATTAAGGTCTTCCGTTTCCAACGGAAGACCTTCTACTGATTGTGATGATTAAGATTATTCTTTTTTTTTTTCTAGACGCCAACTTTGACGCTTCATATCTTCCTCATTTTTAAACAGATTTTGTTCAAATTTTCAGAGCTTTTAGACTTTACAAAACACTCTCAGAATACCGTAATACAATTCGGAAATTACCTTCTGTTCACGAGTTATTCCCCTTTGATTGAATTTTGCATGCCTCCGATTTCCAGACAAAGGCTCAGAAATGGTTATAATTGGAGCACAAAACCCTTTGAAATTGAAAAGAGGAAGCATTGAAGTTGTGCACATCGGTTTTTGTTTTTTGATTTTTGCATTAAAAATGGCGCTAGAGAGGGGTCAAAAGTTAGAACGCTGAAAACAGCAAAAAATTTGACATATTTTCCTTTATATCTTGAAAACTAGAAATATTTTGTTAAAACATGTAGAACAAAAGTTGTGCATAATTGCAAGGGCTTTCATATTATACTATTTAAAAGGGGCTGGCCCCTATGATTAGGGATCTTGGGCCCTTAAAAGTTTTTGCTTTATAACTCAAAAACGGTAAATATTTCGATCTGGATCTTGGGAACAAAATTGTTCTTTTACACCTTTTTGATCTAATGAAAATGTTGTTTTGTTCGAGTATACCATGGGTATTGCGTAATACGTATTAGAAAGCAGGCCAGGTAAACAGGTAACGTTATTCATTCGGCAAGGAAATTAGACCTCTTCATGTGTATAACTTAAACAGACTTGCTATCAATAATATACCCTGCGGTATTTAATGTTAATTTTCTTTTTAATAAGGTTTAAAACGTGGTTTATGGTTCACTATTAAATTATTTATTACAACTAGTCTTTCTTTTCTTCTTTTTTAAATTAGATTAATAGTGTTCAAAAGCGGAGAATATTAAATCTATCTTTCTACGTTTATTATTACAACAAACTTTGTAAGTGATTTTAAACTGTATGCATTGAATAATTCACGATCATTAGCTGTATGCATATTACGGTCTCCATGTTCAGCTCGATGTTTAGTTATGTAACCTAACGCGCGAATCCCACGCTGTTGATCGAGGTCACCAGTGTACTAGCCACCTGTGGCCATAAACAAAGCTAGTATTTGTGATCGCGTATAATGTCAATTTTGTACAAAGAGCTAATAATTAATGGAAAGTTATGTTTTTAATTATATCGAATCAGTAAGATTACTTTACTGATCTTTTATAATCTTAATTCCAAACACTGGTGCATAAAAATCATTTTGAATTTTAATCGCTGTTTTTGTCTGTTCACGCAACAATACATTTAAAAAAAGTATTGCTCTATCCCGTGTTGTTGTATTTTAATTCATCTGCAATTGTAATTGAATGGGGGCTTCGGTAAATAATTGTAATTACTACGCATGCTACGCACATATTATTTTTACCATCACTCTTGTGAATGTCCATTTATTATTTATAGAATTAAATAAACATTAACATAAATAAAAATTCCTTCAAATATACATGTACTATAATTCAAGTCTTTGTAATATAGCAAACAGTTTCATCCATCTCTGCCGCTTTGTGTCTTAAGTGTTGTAGTCCAGTCCTTGTTTACATACACGTGGCTACAGAAAGCCGCGGGCACCTCGATGTTGAAATACATTGTGTACTCTGATAGTTGCTCTACACAGCACAAACAACTAACGTGTACATGCAGTGTAGTAATTGGCAAAGATTGTTTGAAAAATATAAACTGGCATGTGTTCGCTACGAAGCATTCATTTTAAAATTTTATTTACATGTAGATACCTTATAAGAACAAAATAAAGTAAATTTATAACACTTAGAACAATGTTTAAACAGGTAAGCGTTTTCATTCGGCAAGTAAATCAGAACTCTTCGTGTGTATAACTTAAACAAACTCGCTATAAATAATATACCCTACTGTATTTAATGTTAATTTTCTTCTAAATAAGGTTTTAAACGTGTTCTATGGTTAACTCATAAATTATTTTTTACAACTTTCTTTTCTTTTTTAATTTAGTTTTAAAGGGAACAGCGTCTTCTAATAAAGGAAGGAATTAAATGTATCTATATAACTATATAAGTAATATTAAACTTTAAGCATCGAATAATTAATGATCATTAATCCATCGTGCAGAAACAACGACTAATGAAACATTATGTTTTTTTTTAATTTATATTGAATCTTTAAGATAACTTAATCTCATCTTTGATTTAATCTTAAGCGTTCCAAACACTAGTGCATAAAATCATTTCTAATTTTAATCGCTTTTACCGGCCTGTTCACTGTCGACACAACAATACGATTTAAAAAAAAAACAACAACAAACAAACAATTTATTTCTCTGTCCAGTGTAATTGTATTCAATTGTTATTGAAAAGGTGCTAAGGCAAATAATTGCAATTAGTGATAGAAGTATTAAGTATTAATACTTGTGTAAAGTATAATTTTTACTATCAGTCTCTTAATTGTTTCTTCATTTAATTTTTCATTAAATATTAAACTATATACATCAAATAATACTTTTAAACATACAATAATTCACGCCTTCTTACAGCACAGTTTACATTCTGCTCTGTCGCTTTGTAACCCAGTCTTCGTGCACACGTGGCCGCAGAGAGCCGGGGTCATATCGGTGTTAAAATACATTGTGTACTCATAGCGATTAATGGAAAATTGGGTTTGAAATCATTTCGAATCTTACATATTATTTTATTTTACTCTATCTCACGCTTATTTTTATCAATCCTTACCGCCCGTGCATTTATTCATTTCAAGTTTTACGCATTTTAATTGCCGACTTAACCATTAAGTTTGCAACAATTTATTTTTCTGTCTCGTGTTTTAAACTGCATGTACACATGCATGATAATTGTAAGTGGAGGTGACTTTTTCAATTCTCGGCATCCTCACAATGTCAAGGTATTGTGATTTCGGAACCTTAATTGACATTGTGAGGATGAATTCTCGGGAAAATCGGAAAGTTTTACGGATACATACATACATACATGCATGCAAGTACAGAACATGCTCTTTTTATAAGCACGATCTTGAATTCGAATGTACAAGTGTACATGTATATGCAAGAGCGCCCCAAATGTACGCATATCGAGTGTTTAAAATACAGAGAAATACAAAATCCCCGGTCTCTGTTTTACATTATCTTTGCAACAAAATATTGGTTAATCTGAAATCAATTTTATTGATCTATAGCTTATTTTGAAGTAAATTATCGGTCCACTGAGTTGATAATGAGTTGTTTTTATAACGGGTACATTTATAGTATTCCGAATCACTTTTTACATTTTGACTGTAAACGATTTTATTAACAAGTTTATAAATGGTTGGTTGGTATTAAAGGAAAGCCAATTCAATGAAAAATCAAATCTACATTACACGGCGAGTCTATCTACGATACAGGCCTTGACAGGGGTTATATTTACATCACCTTTTTAGTGTATTGCAGGTCACTTCCGGGTATTTCGAATCACCAGGTAAATGGCTAAAAACAGTCAGATAACAACATTATAATTAATGAATTAGTTGGTATTGTTTACCAAAAGTATCAAAAAATAAAAAGAATTATTTTCTTGTTGAATGTTGTTGTTTTTTTTATTAAGTTATTAAAGCTCCCCCCCCCCCCTTCTGTAGACACACTATAAAACAGCGTTCTCAGAGGCGGATCATGCAGAAAAGCAAATACCAACAGAATATTACTTTCTGAAATTACCTGATTGTAAATTGTTGTCCTGTAAATATAATCATCATGGC